AAAGGTTCAAAAAACATTAATTATACTGTAGGCAGTATTTTTCTTAGCGCTTTACTATAGGCTTATTTAAACATACTGTCTATTTCATTCTGCTTTCCTATAGCACAAAATATTATCATATACAACATACATGATGCTTTATCCTGAGTGAAATCATTAGTATAACTAATCAAATATAGGCTCTTCTGTCCTCAAACCACTGCATGCATACTTATTCATATTATATCTTTGCCTAATCACATAAATAATTTATCTTTATATCCCAGCTGCCAAATAATGATTTAGTGAGATCTCCAAAACAAAATTACAAAAATAATTTCACCCTGATTCTGCCTGAGTTCCCTTTTCATTGTGCAAACACAACAATTATCAATTTGCTTTGCTAGTTGAGATCCCTTAAATGGAAATGCAATTAAGCATGGTTTATTATTGACTTATGAACCATAACCAATCAATGAAATGTCTGCAAAGGGTGCAAGTAAGAGCAGAACTGTGTTATTATTTATAGAAGAAAGGTTGGGTCCTCTGTACTGTTTTTCTCAGTACAGGCTTAGTGAGCCTTAGACAGGCTCTCAGTCCTCTTAGGAAATACTGTATATCAGTTATATGCATTGTAAACATATTATTTACACAAATAACAACCAGTAAAACACAATATAAATCTCACTTTCTGTAGAACTCACTTAAAATAGAAAGCTCTTCAACACATAAAGTTTCCTAAATAATGCAATTGCCACTTTATATGAAACTCACCCCAGAAAAATAAAATCAGGTCATACACATCATTTCAATTTGATTTAACGATGCTTCCTATAATGCACAGTGGCCACTTATTTCTACTTTTCTAAATTTGCACAATCTTTTAATCTAAGAGTTAAATTGGATTTTTATAACCAATACAGGTAGTCCCCACTTATTGACCACAATTGGGACCAGCAACTATGTTGCTAAGCAACACAGTCATTAAGTGAAACATCACGTGACTTACGATGTCAGTTCTGCTGTGGTCATTAAGGAAATCACCCACGATCGTTAAGCGCAATATCATGTG